CATAGGAAATCCGTAAAGTACATTGTTTTCAACTGCAAGAAATCAATATCACTTGAAAAGAACCAGAACTTGCTGATTCTTATAGAGAATACGGAAGGTGTAATCTTTGTAGTTAACCATCATAATGAGCATCTTGGAAGAGCTGTCAATATAGTTTGCATTTCGCCTGGCTCGTCTAAGAGGAGGTTCCCTTATGGAATCATAGCACGGGATGGGGGTGGCCATATGGAACTGCAATCATTTGCAGAGAACATCCCGAGTTGGTCAGAAGAATTGGCTTTGAGAGTATTCCTTATGGTCCCTACTGATCTTACAGATTCTTTTGGCAGGCTGGAGTTGGAAGTTTGCATAAGGGCCTCTTGAAACACCAGGAGGTTGGTGTAATTTAGAGATGTTGATCATACATGTTTATGAGGTCAACCACTTTACTAGCTGATTTGAACTCAAACTGGTTTTATACTTTGTATTATTTGTAGTATATAAGTTATACGAAGTATTTGTCTAGAGGAATGGTTTGGTTGTATATTGTGATTGAACTGCTGCTTGTTCGGCTGTGCTTTTCTTTTTTCAAATAGTGTTCGTCTTGAATCTACATGTATTTCATACCGTAATGAAATAATGAATGATCGATCCATCAATCCTATTGAATCTTATTTTGTTCATATTTTGGTGTATCCGACTGGCTATACGCAGTGTCCCTGTCAGGGTTTTCGCTATTCCTACCCGGAACCGGGGGGTCTTGAATAGGCATGGACCGGGCCCGGGCTGGGCTCTGGGCCGGTTCAAGCTGGGCTTTTTTTCCCAGATGTTGGGCCCGGAACCGACTCGGGTTGATACCGGCTCCGGGTCAAACCGGTCCGGGCCGGTCCAATGTATATATATTTTTTGCTTTCTAATTAACCCCCAACCTCCCCTCACCCCCACCCCTCAAACCTCCCCAAAACACCTAGCCCTACCCAAGGAAAAGGAAAAAAATTGAAAAAAAAAACGAATCGGGTCCGGCGGTCCGGCCTGGATTGCCCGGCCCGGTTCAAGAAAAACATGGCCCGAGCCTGGTCTGCCAGGCCTGCCCAACCCGGGCTAAAGCTCGAAACCGGCCATCCGGTCCGGACTCGCACAGTAGCGGACCGGTCCGGTTCACGGGCTGATTCGACCTGGTTCAGTCCACCCCTAGTCTTGAACCTGAGTTGGCTTGGTCCACCCTACCAACAAGTACTAAAAAAATGTCTGCCTAGGTTCAATTCATTCCAATAAACACATCTTTAAAAAGATGACATATAAAGTGGTGATGTGAGAGCTTAGAACAAATAATATTGACAAATAGCACACTTTTGATATTCAACGATACTTTGTGAAAATAAACACCATGTACATCTCTCCGAGACATTCTCAAGGATGTTTGGAATTGATTCTGAATCTGTTTCTTTTTTAAAGCAAAAACATGATCAGAAGTTCAGAATAAGTTTTCAGAAGCTGTTCTCCTCTAACTTCTAAAAAACCCGCTTGTAGGAGTAAATTAGAACATCAGAAGTACTTCTGCACTTTCACCCAACACCCCAACTTTTGCTTCTTATCCCTGAAAGAGTAGAAACAGTTTTAAAAATCAGATCCAAACACCCCTTTACTAACAAGGGGTGATATTCCAACAATAGAAATTATTGTTAACAAGGATACTACAATATAATATCTTAACCAAATTGACATCCTTGCTAGTTGATATTCCAACAATCACCTATTAAGAAATACTACAACGTAAAGGTAATGACAACGAAGGGAAAGTAACATCTCATGTGATTGAATTGGGTAGTTAGATGAAGATTGAAAAGTTGGAAAAAATCTAAATTGAGGAATAGAACTTTCCTTGTTAACATTTTTTTTGTAAAATAATATTTGATCTCTCCAATTGGACTTTGTCATTTTTTCATTCTCGTTTCTCTAAATGTCACTTTCCCTTAAAACCAAATAATTTATGGGTGTGTTTATTTCTCCCCCGTTTGCACATCTATCAATCATATAATTTTTATTTTTCTTATTTCTTATTGAACACAAATTTGGCAAAGTCAATTGGACGGATATAATACATATGTAGTACTACATAGTTAGTATTAATAAGTTCAAATGATAATAGTATTATTATTTGAAATAATTATTCATTTATGGAAATTGATGATCTTTACGAAAATATGACATTTTAAATGTTGTGACTGTAATTTTAGACTTTAGTTATAATAATTTTTATTTAATTTGGAAAATTTTAGGGTGCATACACTTACGGGAATGTTTTGGTACATTCGACACATGGAACCATTTTATTGGTTTTTTTAATCCAGCTCATATTTATATTAAAATTCGTCTAGTATTGCACAACCAGTCCTTCAATAACTCATTCTTTTATTTTCTGATTTTGGGTTTACGAAATAAGTTGGCATCATCATCTAAATAAAGCTTCAAGCAGACGGAAGCTGTGCGAGCAGGGGCGGACCGTAGTAGAGACCCAGGGGGTTACCGTTCACCCAACAATTTTTTTTAATGTATATGTATACGAAAAATAATTTTTGCTCCCAAAAAGTATTTTGAACCTCCAAAAATATTTTTGCCCCCCCCTCAAGATGACTTTCCTGGGTCCGCCCATGTGTGCGAGACTTTCTTGCCTCCAAGATTTTGTCCTTTTAGAGACGGAAGCTCCAAACAAGCCTTCAGGCTTCTAGGAAAGAAGAAACATGGTAACAGGGAGAGAGAAACGAAAGACTACTCGAAGGAGGAGATGCTCATAAATTATATCTTAATCAGATTTTTGATTCTTGGTCGGGTTTCTATTGGCAATTGCTTTTAAAAGTGAGGATAAAAACGAGATTGGATTTTTGGAAGAAGCGGATGATTGGATTTCTGGAAGGAAAAAACGTGAAAAAGACGTACATGAATTATTTATTGTTTTTTTGTAAGGAGGGACTTAAATTGATGTCACAACATTATAGGGGGTAAAATGACAAAAGGACCATAAGAAACCGTCAGCCCTCGAACCAGACTTAGAATCAATCACCTTCAAAAAAGCAATATGTCTCGTTGATCCTATAATGAGCATAAATGAGCCAATGACGGTTAAAACAGACCTCCCATCACCCAATCCTAATGCAATACTCTTACAACATTAAAAGTAACCAATAGAAAAACAAACAATCTAATCATGAAAAATAAATAGCAAACAAACGGTAAAATTAAAATGCTGCTTCCAAAGCCTAGACTCTCCTGCACTCCATGGCGGTGGCTCAGGAGGAGGACGGTCCAACAGTACTGTAACTTCTTCCTCTCTTTGCTTCTTATTCATCATGATTTCTACCAAGCCTCCTTTGTCGCCACCTAACACGGATGCCCTCGAACCCAGATCTGTTCCAGTCCCTAGCTTCACGATTCGTCCATGACCTTTTGATCTCAACCATGAACGACATCCTCGAAACTCTCCACCTATTGTCAGGGGTGCACAACTTTTTGACCGCCATATAGGCGGTGTGGCCTGCCGAAGAAAAAACCTCACGAATGGCGGAAGAAAACCACACTTCGTCAAAGACGAAAGCGGAGAAAACAACCCCTAAATCTAGAGGAGACGGCCGCTGCTATGCTGTGGTTTCTCTCTTAGAGAGAGAAAGAGCCAATTAATTTTCAAAACGGATTAAAGTCTTCTATATGAATTTTTTTGTTTAGGGCTACTTTGCAATTTTCTAAAAATTCTAAACAAAATTACTTACGTGGAATGTCATCGAATCATATTTTGCCACATCAGTAATGCACCAATACATGCTGCAACGAGAATGCACGAGAGCTTCCCATTTTTTTTAATACTCAAGTAGTCATAAGACTATACTTTCGTAACTTTACGGTTAAAGTTTTGTAAGAAAGTTTTATTTTAGGGAAAATTGTCAAATATGTCCTTGAACTTTCATAAAAAAGTCAATTAAGTTCTTCTATAGGAGACTCTGTCCGGTTGTCGCGATTTGGGGCGGTTCGCAGTGGAATTTTTCAATGAAATTTTTTGAGCATCTTATTCACCAAGTCTAGTTTACTCATATCAAATTTCAGCTAAAACTTCAATATAGAAGACATTCAAATTAATTCTTGAAGATAACTGCGCATTTTTGCGTTCTCGAATTAATTTGAATGCGCTCCCAATTAAATTTTTAGCTTAAATTTGGTATGAGTAAACTAGACTTGATGAATAAGATGCTCAAAAAATTTCATTAAAAAATTCCACTGGGAACCGCCCCAAATCGCGAAAACCGGACAGAGTCTCCTATAGAAGGATTTAATTGACTTTTTATGAAAGTTCAAGGACCTATTTGACAATTTTCCCTAAAATAAAACTTTCTTACAAAACATTAACGGTAAAGTTACGAAAGTATAGTCTTATGACTACTTGAGTATTAAAAAAAATGGGTAGCTCTCTCGTGCATTCTCGTTGCAGCATGTATTGGTGCATTCCTGATGTGGTAAAATATGATTCGATGACATTCCACGTAAGTAATTTTGTTTACTCCCTCCGTCCCTAAATTATCTTCAAACTTTCTTTTTTCGTCCGTCCCAAAATTATCTCCTCTTCCCCCTTTTAGTAAAAAATTTGTGGTTCACAACCATTCTTACACATTTTTACACATTTCTCTCTCCTCTGCACAACTCTCCACCACACAAATCCCACTATCTTAATAAATGTGCCCAGCCGAAAAGGGAGAAAGATTAGGGACGGAGGGAGTAGAATTTTTAGAAAATTGCATAATAGCCTTAAACAAAAAATTTGGTATGAGTAAACTAGACTTGGTGAATAAGATGTTCAAAAAATTTCATCAAAAAATTCCAACGGGAACTGCCCTAAATCGCGATGGCCGGACAGAACCTCTTATAGAAGGATTTAATTGATCTTTTTATGAAAGTTCGAGCAACTATTTGACAGTTTTCCCTTTATTTTATTTTAAACCAATATTTTACATAGCAAAACTTCAAAAATAAACAAAATTAACAGGTCGTTCGACTGTTGTACCTTAACTGCCATACCCGAAGGAAACGCTATCTCGCAAGGTACAACCCTAATCTGCACATAATGCTGACAGACTGCAAAGCCTGAACGGCGACTGAGACGGCGACGGCAACTTACCCCCTTCCTCTCTCGATCAGCATCAGAGAACCAGTATGAACTGAATCCACTGTTTTTTTCTTCTTCTCGGAGACACAAACTATAACAACCGCCAACATGGAGTCTCCTACACCTGATCTCAACTATGATGCTTCTTCTCCTCACCGGATAATGGTTTATTTTCTTAACATCTAATGTTTTATCTCTTCTGTTTCTATTTAGATGAACATCGCACGAAACTTTTGAAGTATATCGCGATGTCTGGGAATTTGCTATATAAAATATCATATCATGTGTTTGTTGCTTATCGTTGAGTGTAATTACTGTTGATGATCTAATGAAGAAAACTTTTGAGGTGAATCTGTCGAGTGAAAACCTTATTTACAGCTTAACCTATAATTTGAGTGACAACAGCATGCAATGAATGAAGTATAATAAGGTCACTCATAATGTAATATCAGCTGATGTTCACAATAGGAGATCATTGTGAAATTGGCTAAAAATTGTGCTTGTATAATAAAGAAACCTGGAGAAAAAGAATCATTTTGAAATTGGCTTAAACTGACCCGAGTAGTTATATTATATTTTATCCTACTATGGTTTTAAATGGACATAGACTTGACTGTGTTTTTACTATGTTGAACTGTTAAGTTGACAAGTGAAGGAGATGATTCTGTCAGCTTAAAGAGAAAGAAAGGAAATGAGAGGAAGGCTGAAGGAAGCAATAATAAGAATAAAAAGCGAGATGATTATATTCGTCCTGCTTGTTCTTGGGTGCATTTTAGGTGACAAGTTCCTCGTTTGAATTTGAATTCAATACATTTTACGCATTTCCTTCATGTTTTAATGCTCTAGATGATGCTTCCTTCATACTAACCCTGATATAATCTCAGCCGTGAATTTATCAAAGAGTACAGTGCATCACATCCTGAATCTTCTGGTCTGAAAGCTGTAAGGGTCCTCACTTTCCTATAAACCAATAGATGATATGTTTTTTCTTCCTTTTCATTTTGTCTGTGGTCTTTCTATCTCATTGGAATGTATTCTCATGATATAGCAGTTGCTACTGTTTTTTGTATAGGCTACAAAGGCAGCATCAGATGCTTGGAAGCAGATGGGCCCTGAAGAGAAAGAGAAATACACAAATCGCGCTCGTGAAGTATGGGATGAATACTTAAGCTCTGCACCCCCACGTTCTCCTAAGCCAAGGAAACAGGTGTTTTTTTGTTTTTTAATTCTTTGGGTCCCTTTAGAGTCATTTCAGATAGAGGGTTTTTGATGTAGAAGGATTTTAGGGCTTAGCCCATATCTTGATAAATATAATGTTTCTAAAATGAATTAAAGGTGATTAAAATGTTATATGATCACATATTATATAAAATCTAAATCATATATCTAGATATAGACTAAGTCCTCCAAAGAACTTCAAAACCCTTCATTTAAACAGACCCTTAAGGAGGGAGCATGGTGGGATTGACACAGTCACAGAGAGGTACCAAAGATATTTTCTGAATGAGGGATTTTCCTGGAACCAGAGGATTCACCATTTAAATACAACAACAACAACATCCAAGCCTTAATCCCAAAAGAATTTGGGGTCGGCTAACATGAATCGATCTATGATATCGATGCCAAAAAGAGAAGGCGGACAAGAAAGGGGAAAAAAGTAAGATAAAATGAATAAAATAAAGATACATAAATATAAGATCACAATAACACAAGAATATAACCAAGATAAAAGAAAAATAAATAAAAGAGCATAAAAAAGCTAGAAGATAAAAATAACATAAGAATATAAAAAGATAAGGAAGATAAACGATAAAAGAAACAAGAGAGGAAAGGTAGACAAGACATCAATCGTCCACATGGATGTGCGCCCTCCACTTAAAAGCAAAACAAAAATCTGAAAGACTGCTTGAATGAAGTGTATAAAACCAAAACAAATATATTTTACCAGATTACAACTTGCGAGGGTATCTTAAGATGCAAATCTAGACCTATCCTGAGACAATCTTCCACTAAGAATGAATCATGAAATGAAGAATGTAAACAAACCTTGCACTACTATATGCCCTAAGTCAGCTGTTATAAGTTTAAGTTCAGTGTCATGCCTACTGAGACCTACAAACCTCTCTCTCTATCCTTGTACAAATGTGCCATTAGCATTTTTCTCCCGAATCACGGGGCTCTCTTTTGACAACTGAAAAAATTTGCATACGTTACTACGCAATATTAATCAATGGAATTGATAAGAGACAAGTCAAATTTCCAGGCCTTTCACCAATAATAAATGTCCTTTTTTGCTTAAAAGTTAAAACACATTTTTACTTTTTCACTTTATCGCTTTAACCACCACAAATCATTGAGCTCCTAAATGCATAGAAGGGGAGCCTTGGCACACCGACTAAGGTATTGTTGTGTGACCGAGAGGTCACAGATTCACATCTTGGGAGCGGCCTCTTTTCAAAAATTTGACAAGGGAAGGCTTTCCCCTTATACACTCTTGTGGTGGGACCCTTCCCCGGACCCACGCCTTGTGGGGATGCCTTGATGCACCGGGCGGCCCTTTTATTGAGTCCATAATCACCCTGGTATGAGGAATTGCTGGTCATTGCTTATTTTTAACTAAAAAAAAGAAGTGTTTGCTATCCTCTTAGTTTCTTTCATTTGAAAATTGACTATTGTTGGACAGAGTAAATTGGTGACAAGATGCTCCCCAGGCCGTTTATTACATGTGTTACAACAGCTCTCTCCTGAGCAAAGAGATTCTGTGAAGAGCATGGGGTTTGGCAGTATTCTCGGTCTTAGATGTCGGACACTTCGGCGGAGTCTCTGTCTTTGGCTGTTGGAAAGGTTTAATGGGGTAAGGTGCAGTTTAGAAATTTGCGGTGAGAAGGTTCCTTTAACTCCACGGGATGTGGAACTCGTTATGGGATTAGCAGCCAGTGGGGAAGATGTGGTAAATTCAGGACCAGATGAATCAATTCTAGAACTACGTAAGAAGTATGAAGCTACAAATCGCGGGATTTCTGTGCGTCTTTTGGAGGAGCGGTTGACATCTCCAGATTCAGGGGAAGATTTCAAGAGATCATTCGTTCTTTATGTATTGGGTACTCTCTTGTGCCCAACTGCAAGATTGGATGTTAGCCCTTCGTTTCTCCATTTCTTAACAGATATGAATGTGATCCACCAGTTCAACTGGGGAAAGTTTTTGCTTGATCGATTAGTGCGTGAGGTTTCTCGATTTCGCCAAGGAAAACAACGTGCAGTAGGGGGCTGCCTTCTGTTTCTCCAGGTTAGTACTCCCTTGCCCCCTTCTGTAAGTCTCACTTTCCTTTTCAGTTTGTCCTGTAATTATGTCCACTTTTCTTTTTGGACACCACCATTTTTCTATTGTTTCTGCTTTACCCCGTCTAATTGGACAATTGAACCATGTTCACATTATTTTTATAAAAGTTACCAGTGAAGAATAATATTATAAAACTAACCAAATATCAGCACATCACTTCTTTCATGGTTTCACCAATATGCGATGTATTAAGTATATCCGGCTTGTAAACTGTCATTTTATATCTGCTATAAAGATGGCACACACACACACACACGCGCGCACACGCGCGCGCACACGCGCGCGCACACACGCACATATGCATGCACACACACATGTTGGTAAATATGGGATGCACAGTAAAATATTTGGGTAAACATGGGTTGCAACTTGCAAAGGATAATCTTTCCCTCACATGTTCCACCTGGAATACTTTAAATGATGATACTTATGTTGGTGCTTCTCTATGGGTTGTTACATGTTTCAGCTCTTTTACTATGAGAGTGTCGCAGTCAGGGCCGTATATGAATTAGCCCCTGTTGCTTTTCCTTGTTTATTCTCATGGGGTGAAGAGGAAATTACTGAGAGAGAAAAACTAGAAAAAGAGATGGGAGGTTATGGTAACGGCGAGGTAACATTCCTTGCTTGAGCTTGATATATATCACACTGCTTCGTTTTCAGATTAGAATTCAACTTTCACGTTCAATATCAGTGTGTTTGCAAGGAAAGAGGGCTTGGGATGGGTCCAATGGGATACCGTGGACAGATTGACGGTGATGTGCTCAAGACTATGGGGCCAAATGATGAGGTCTGTTTCGAGCACATAAAAGGCGTTCAAGTATTAAACTATTAATCTTGTTCATGTAATTTTCATTCTAACGTGACACATTTTATTTTGCATATGTTCCATGTTATAGTGTAGCTATGTTTTGTTTAGATGTTTCTTGGTGCCCCCCAATTTCAGCTTATGTGTGTAGGGTTGTTCTAGATTTGACTATACGACACAAATGCTTTTCCTTTGTACCTTTGAGCTAGATAATAATAGTAAGAGCCAATAATGAGAGCTTTTGAACTGAGTCCTCCCCAACTCACTTTATTTATCAAATCTCTCGCCTGCTTATTTTTCTTCACCATAATTAAATATTTAATTAGGTTAGAACCCCGGTAAAGAAAATAAGGAAATAATGAAATTGCTGAAATTTATTTGAGAAGCAAAATGAAATAAAACACTCTTCTTTCAAGAACTTTGCTCGTCCCATAAAAACTCACATTATTAAAACACAACTTTAATTTTTAAAGCGGACTTTCTGCAAGGCCAATAAGTGAAACTTGTACCTTGATTAGTTTAGGAGTACAAGTGAGCATTCATAAGATCGTAATTTGTAAAAACTTGTACCTTGATCAGTTTAGGGGTATAAGTGAGCATTCATTTCTCTTTTGTGCATACTTCCACCATCATGTCTAGGCTTGAAGCCTTATTTAATATTGATTATGGACAATTGGATATAGATTAAATTTCTATCCTTCTCATGTTTGGGGTGGGTGTTTATTGATAAAACAAAACCATGGATCATCAAGGAGTCCACAGTAACAAATAGTAATCATAAACTTTGCTTAACATAGCGGATTTATCTCATTTATTTTCCTTTCTTACACTGTTCATTAATAGATGCACTCATGACATGATTGCTTTGTAGGATATGGATGATCAAGCCAATGAAGAGATCCTTGCAGTAGAGGTATTTGGTCCTCATGTCTTAACACAGATTTTATTATTTAAAACAGACGTTGTGGCAATTGAAAACAGGATAACTTATGGATGCCCTTTTGATCAACTTGATTTTAGTAACCCCAGAATACAAGAAATACGAAATGCCGAAATAGCATCTTTCAAAAGTTAGGAAATGGAAAAGTGTTTAAGCCATGCGATTATAAAACTTAGCTAGGTCTATATTCACAAAATTGCATTATATGAGTGTATGGGTGTGGATGTTGGTGTGTGTATTGAGTTTTTTTATGGGTACATCAATAAAGCCCTAGATGGTTACATTTTTAGGCTATATGCATTTATACACTGTCAATAAATCCAAATATCTACTCTGTTTATACGAATACAGAGTATTCACGTCACATATTTTTGCATATCAAATTATCAAAACTTTACTTAAATTAGTATTGATAATCTTTTTTTCTTTCTGATTAATTATAAAATACTCCCTCCATCCCAACTAAAGGTTCTCACTTGCCTCTTTTGGACGTGCCATCTAAAAGTTCACATTTGTACTTTAGAAAATAATTAGCACTCTTAAATGACAACTTAATAATCAAATATGAAAGATAATACCCAAACTACTCAAATTACCTTATTTATTTTTTGTCTAAAAACCGTGCCATTTTTTAATGAAAACCTTAAACTGGGGTTGAGGTAGTAAAACACCACTTTTCGATGTAAAAAATTGAAATATGGATAAAATAAAGGGAAAACGGAATAAATTATTTTAACCGTTGAATTTCATTACGGATAATTAGATCATTTCATTACCGTTCAAGCAGTATCAAAGTTATCTCAGCCCATGTATTTATTATTTACAGAGTATAATTGTAGTTTACACCACAGAAAGTGGCCACCTCTAGGAATATATTCTGTTCAAACTATTGTACCTAACTAACTAACTCTCGTGTGTTAGTTAGTTAACAGTATATTCCAAGTCTATAAATACTTTGTAAAGTGGACAATTCGAACAAAATAATGAATAGATCATTCTTCTCATTCTGTTACACTCTGATTATCAATACCACCCAATCCCCGCCTATTTGTCATGCCATTGTCTGTACTCTGTACCTAGGCCCTGACATCTGCTTTGTTGCTTTCCGCCTTCTTTCTCGCGAGTTGATTTCCACCTGATGGAGTCGGTGAGGCGTGGGTTTCCCCCTCCTTTTTTTCCACATTTCCACTCCAATAATACCCCCAATTTATAAATGCTTGGAGTCTATAAACCCAAATCTACATTTTTTACTCCATTCTACCATCCAAGCTCCCACTACAAATGGCCTTGTAATTAGAAACTAAATGCTCTAGGATTTTACTCTTTGTCTTAACATGGGTTTGCATTAACTAAAACAGACATGGATGCAATTGAAAACAGGAATCTTAAAAAAAGGTGTATATATTTACTAAATTGCAAATCATCTGTGTGCAGGGCACATCTCTATAGAGGTTACTACATGTTTTTTAGTAGAAATTTATTACTCAATGATTGTTGTATTTTAGTTTTTTTAATTAATTGTAGGTCAAAATTAATTTCCCTAGAACATGTTTCTGAACTTTTGGAGATTACAAAAACAACCCTGGGCTTATCAGTTTCTGAAACGTTACAGATAATGCAGTAACTGATTGACATGTTTTTGGGAAGGTTTCTAGTTCTGATATACGGAAAAATAGGGAAACACTGCTCCTAAAGGTTTCCGTTATCATAGGCTCATTCTTCACTTGCAGTCCCAACTTTTATCTTTCTAGAAAAATATCCAGTTGGATTTTGCCCGATCAGTAATTAAAAGGACTGAAAGTAGCAAGATATCCATAGCTGTGCATCTATTGTGAAAAAAATGAATGTTAGAGACAAAAGTGAGAATGACCTCTAGGTCTATGTTTTTTCATAACCCGCAGCTAATTGTCTTCCTACGGAAAGTGATTTATTCACCTCATCACCTGAATGCTTTGCTGAAACCTTTTCCAGGGAAAAACTCCCATTGATGTGCCCACTTATTCCAACCAAGCACCTTGTGGAAACACGAGTTATGGATGCTTAGTAACCATGGATTGCGTGAACAGTAAAGACCATGCGGAGTTCTGTGCATATGCACCATGCATATGCCCTATTAAGACCTGTGACTTTATTGATTCATCCATACAGCTCTCCCACCATTTCAGCAGCTGTCATTGGGATTCAGGGAAACGCTTCCAATACAACTCTCCTTTACGCGTAACGTTGGGGAAGAAGGAACCGTTCCTTGTGCTGCAAGCGGAAGAAGACGGGATGTTGTTTCTGCTGTCCAGGGAAACAGAGAGCATTGGGTATCGGGTTATGATCACCAGCATTCGCCCAAGCACCACAACCACTCACTACTCATATGACATTGTTTCAGAAAAAGGAAGCAGCTCTTTGAGGCTACAATCTGTTGCTCAAAATTTTCCGGGCAGGATTGAAGGATTCCCACCAGATTTTCTTCTGATTCCTTTTACTTACACGAATAGTTCTGGGAAACTGGAATTTGATGTCTGTATATGGAGTTCAACGGATGCAAACCCCATGACCGATGATATACCTTGAATAAATTTTGAAATAGTATTACATACGAAGTATGTACTTCAATAGTTATTGACTTACAGTTAAATGATCTTCCAGTCTAGTGATTTAAAGAGCCAATGGAACTATAGAGAAGCCAACTACGACCTGTTTCAATAAGTCTGGCCTACTTGCTTGTCTAGATTGATCAATTTACATAGTCTAAGGATGATAAATTAAATAAGCTTTTAGCATTTTACCAAAAATTCCTCGTTAAAAGGCATTTTCCCATTGACATCCTTTTGGAAAAAATGATAAATTCAATAACAAAATAAGGAAAGAACTCTTGAATCTTGCACAAGTTCCATAAATGAAGACATAATTGACGAAAAAACTTTTCACTCGGTACAGTTTCGTAGTGGATATTTATATACGAAGTAATTTACACGGTTCCAACTTACAAAATTTTTAAAGTTGTAGAGATAAATTATGACATTTTGTGTGCCATATTAAGCATTTCTTATAGTCAATAAACCTGAATACCTGATATTTAATTTTAAATTTGGTTCGCTCAACATATTTTCTAGATTCACCGTACCTGAAGTCTTGAACTCCTGATGTATGTATGAATAGACGTGATTCACACAGACATGTTCACGGACGTGCATACCGTAAGTTGGGTTGCTTATTTTAAAACATTTTCCATACTTATACCTTCTATAGTTCTAGAGTGCCTATACCGTACGACCGGTATACGGTGAGCACCGTATACCGGTACGGATTTATATTTTTTTTTCTTTTGTTTTTAAAAAATTGTAATAACTTTTTTATTTTTGATCCAATTTTTATAAAATTTATATCAACATTTTTTATTTTTCATGATCTTTCAAATGAGACCAATATTGCCTATGTAATTTTAACATATTAACATTTGCGTGTAAAATATGTAACTTTACGTGTTAAAATATGTAACTCACGTTCAGTCAGGCCAAATGCAACTCGTGTGTATAAATATGTATCTCTACGTGTAACAATATGTAACTTTACGTAAAAAAATATGTAACTCACGTTCAGATAGGTCAAATGCAACTCGTGTGTATAAATATGTAACTCGCGTGTATAAATATGTAACTTTACGTGTAAAAATATGTAACTTTACGTGTAAATATATGTAAGTCGCGTTCAGGCATGTCAAATGCAACTCGTGTTTATATATATGTAACTCGCTTTTAAAAAGATGTAACTTGCTTATAAAAAGATGTAACTTGCTTATAAAAAGATGTAACTTGCTTATAAAAAGATGTAACTCGCTCATAAAAAGATGTAACTCAATGTATTATCAAATGTAACTGAGGCCACTGATCCACTCCCAAACAGATTCGATCTTCTATTTCACAAACCTATCATCTCTCAAACAGATTCAATTTTCCTTGTAATCCAATACTCATTAATATAATAGTTCGATAATTTCTTAAAATTACATAAGCAATATTGGTCTCATTTGAAAGATCATAAAAAATAAAAAATGTTGATATAAATTTTATAAAAATCGGATCAAAAATAAAAAAGTTATTATCATTTTTTAACAACAAAAGCAAAAAAAAAACAAAAAAGAGGGGCAAGCTGCGTCGTTTTGCAACCGGGCGCACCATCCTCATGGTGCGCCGGTTGCACGGTATAATTTGCCACAGTTGTATGTATTTCTTGAAAATATAAGTTTTATTCATTCATAAAAGATTATACACATCTAAATTACAAGCAATTTGAGTTATGTTTTATGTGGGATAGAGAGGCTCTAAAATGAAAAAAACAATTAAAGAAAAAATAAACAAAATAAAAATTAAAAAAGTAAAAAGAAAAACAAAACAAAACAAAACAAAACAAATAAGTATAAGTAAAAAAGAGAGAGAGGCTCTAAAATGTTACCTCTGCTGGAAACAAGAATGTGACCGTCAAGTCTTGAAAAGGAGATTTGTCAAGTTTTTTTTAGTGATGTAGTGTTATTTAAGGCATATATTGACCCACCTCAAAGTACGTGATGTGAGCAAGTTGTACTACCAATATCTCAAATTTGATTCTCATATACTAAAAATATATAGACAAAATAAATGAATTTAAATACAAAAAATAACCAATATAATTATGAGTCTCAAACATTGTCCGACCTGTTAATTTATTTTATGTTTTAAATTTATATATGGATGCAACAAATTAATGTGTTCAATCATTTGAATATTGTACACATGTATGCATATAAACATGTAACCGTTTTTTCCACCTAACAGGCTAACATACATATTTATATATTCACATTTTCAGACTCCATATTTTTGCTTGGAATTCATGACACGCAACAAGAGTAAGAAAAGAGGTACCTAAAACCAAAAAGGAAAAAGCACTTAATAGTAAAAAGATTAAGAGAAAAATAAAAAGAAAGAAAAAGAGAAGGGTTTCCCCCCCTAAAGATTAAATTGTAATCATCCTATAATCATATACCGAGTATGTTGCCATATTTTGACATTCTAAGGTATTAATACGACAACATTAATGTCATAATTGACACTATTTTCCAAACATGATAATAACTATTCATACAAACAACATACACGACTCAAGATAATCCTTGGGGTGCTCTGATAGTAATAGAGAACTCTGCAATCCTTCCTACACTAGTGCATTTCGGTCCCATACATATTAATGATGATGTTGATATATTTACGTGATGTGGCTTTGCTAGTTATAACCCATTAAAGGAATTCCCGAGATACCCCACAATACGTCTTCTCTAAATCAGTGAAGAACAAATACAGATCCTTGTTTGTATCTCTATATATACTTGATGGATAATGTACCCGGGGGGTAGCTTATCCGAGGGGTTATTGCGGAGAATAACTAGAGAGAAGTCAGAGCAAATAAGTAAGAGAGAGTGTATATTCGATATGTATTAAGCGTGGTTTACAATGGGAGAAAGGGGTGCTATTTATAGTAGTAATAAATGCTAGATAAGGACACGTGTCAGTTTTCTGGTGGTCAAGGGGTCACCTCGACCGGGGTGGCACTGGCACTCGCATGTGGCCGCATTAAATGCGGTGGTTGGATGTGACGTTTGTACTTGGTACGGTGATCCAGGCGCATGTGAAGAGGATATTCTGTCGAGGTGGATGCCTTCGGCTGAAGGGTGCTGGGCCGAAGGCTCTTCTAACCGAGGGCTCCTACCTGCCGAGGGCTGCAGGTGCCGAAGGCTTGGTTTTCAAGCCTTGTTCTCCTGTGATGCCTCTTCTAACCGAGGGCTCCTACCTGCCGAGGGCTGCAGGTGCCGAAGGCTTGGTTTTCAAGCCTTTTTCTCCTGTGATGCCTCTTCTAACCGAGGGCTCCTACCTGCCGAGGGCTGCAGTTGCCGAAGGCTTGGTTTTCAAGCCTTGTTCTCCAGTGATGTTTCTGAGCTCGATTCCGTCACTAGTAGCCTTCGGCCATGGGGCCGAAGGCACCCCTTTGCGTATTGTGGGCTACTTAGAGCTCCATTTTGTTGGGCTTGGCCCGTTTGGGCCTTTTGGGCCTGATTGTAGTAGAGGAAGTATGTGGGCTGGGGGTCCCTGGGCCATATACTCCATCATAACCTTATTTTGATAAATATTTTTTTAATTGACATTATTTTTGGAGTGTACACATTTTGGTGTACATGTCACGCCCCGGACCGCGTCCGAGCCACGTAGACAACCGCCGTACAACCCGATAAGAACAACAACAGTCCATCCCCATTGAGTTGTACAAGGCGTCCGATTGATTCTATTGCCAAACCGATTAGTAAACACATACAATCAACATCAATATCATAATCAAACAATTGCGGAAATAATAAAATGTTTGATACTTAGCCACACGTGGCAAACACGGGCACGCAGGCCCCCAACTATTTTAAGGAAAACATTGTTCAAAAATCCATGAGCGGTTTATACATTTGAAATAAGAATGGAAGCACGAACCACGTCTTCCTTCTCGATCAGTCACCCTAGGCAAAGGTGCAGGTAGTAGGACTCTAGCCTCAACCTGAAAAATGTGAGGGCCCCCGGAGGGGTCAGTACTCCATAGAAGTACTAGTGACAAGCAGGCTATATGAAGAATAACTAATGTTTCAGACACGAGACCCAAAAATAGGGTGATATATACATATAGATGTCCCTCATCCACCCGATGATACATACTGTATATATACTCGTAAAATACTCAACCCGTAGGTCATTTACCTTAAAGAGTCTTTTAGAGATAAAGTTCTTGCCTGACTTTTCTCACTCCTTTCCCGGTTACCTAGCTCACAAGCTATAGTCTACCTTCGATTCATACTACCGAGTGTTTTAGGATCATTTACCGTCCAAGGCACTCAACCCATCCTGGAGTATTTAAGATCATTTACCGTCCAAGGGTACTCGGCCCCACCTGGAGTATTCTGGATCATTTACCGTCCAAGGGTACTCGACCCCACCTGGAGTATTCTGGATCATTTACCGTCCAAGGGTACTCGACCCCACATGGAGTATTCTGGATCATTTACCGTCCAAGGGTACTCGACCCCACCTGGAGTATTCTGGATCATTTACCGTCCAAGGGCACTCAATCCCCAGTCTATTCTCTACCAAATCCTAACCTGGATATGGCTAACCTTTCATTCCTTTAACTATGGACAATTCCTAGCCCTATAGTCATATAACAATCCTTAGGATCCAACGTGGGCGGGTCCCACCCGAACGGCCCACGCTAACCTACTCAAAACTGCCCGTTTTGAGCATAACCCAATACTCGATCGAGTATTAACCCATACTCGGTCGAGTACAGGAGACAGTAGTCCACAAAGCTGATTTTCAACAGATACCCGGTCGGGTATGTGTCAATACCCGATCGGGTATGGCAGTTGACTTGGCGGTCAACGCCCCTTTTGACCCCTTAAACGGAGTCCGATTAACTTGAAATTTTATACACATATACTTCTTGATGTCCTTGATCCAAAAATACCATTTTGGATCCCTGGATCATCACACAAAATATGTTATCACATTTTTAATCACCAAACCTACATAACATGCTTTTTAACTATGTTTTGTGTATAATCATGACATAAACACACACTTGGTTATCTTTAATCATTCCACAAAACATATTCCTGATTACTTTAGGTAATCTCATGCCTCACGCAAAAGTTATAAAGCATAAAGCCGTCTTCTCACCTTAATGAAGCTTATGAAGT